ACTGGAAACCCTAAGTCTGTAAACTTTCATTAAAATTAATAAAAAAGAAGAGCAAGATAATAAAATTTCAGTTTTGCAGGCTATGTGATCATTGCAAGAACTCAACTCTCTTATTACAGAGTGAAAGCAGTAAGAGACAATGTGCAAACAAAGGGTATGAGCATGTGTCCATAAAACTTTATTTGCAATAACAGACAGCTTGTTGGGTATACAGTCCATCGTTTATACTTTGCAGACTTCTGGATTAGGTGATGTAGAAGTTCTTTTTACTGCTAGTATTTCATGCTTTAATGTGTTTTAATAGCACTGCTACTTGGAAAGAAAGCCACGTTGGTTATGCAAAGTCTTTTGGTTATGTAGTTTGTTACATATCTAAGGATTTATTCTGTTATTCTTTCTCTTTTCTTCCTTTATTATTGTTGTTGTTAGATGCTGTCCAGTTGACTCTGATTCTCACTGATCCTATAAATGACATATGAACCTTGTGCCATCCTCTAAATCTCCTCCATGGTCAAATCCAGTGTCCTATCAGTGGGTTAATTTATCTTTTTTGGGGGGTCTTCCTCTCTTTTGCTAGTTGGCAACCTTCCCTAGCACGACGTCTCTTCCCGAGGACTGACTCCTCTGACAACATTCCCAAAGTATGTGAAATGAAGGTTCACCATCTTTGCCTCCAAGGCACACCCTGGTTTTTCCTCTAAGATGTATGTGTTTATTTTTTTGGCAGCTCAGGAAGTCCTGTATAATGTTTTATTTTTAAGTGGATATAATTATATTGATTTATCCTACTAGCTGTTGTTGTTAGGTGCTATAGAGGTGTTTTTTTTTCCATTTTGTTTTGTTTTTGGTGCTGTAGAGTTGATGATGACACACGGGGACCCTGTAAACGACAGATCTGACCCTTCCCCCATCCTGCACCCTCATCATGATCTCTGATATGCATGAGCTCATTTTTAGAGTCACTGTGTCAACTCATTCCATTGAGGGTCTCTTTGTACGATGTCCGTTTCCAAGGACTGAGCCCTCCTGAAAACATGTCCAAGTATTTGAGATGAATGTTCATCATCCTTGTTTCTAAGGAGCACCTAAGGTTATTGAGCCTGAGATGTTAATTGTTCCCACAGTCATTAGGATAATTGGTCTACTTTCCTAGAGCAGTTCTGATCTTAACCTAGTAGTCCTAGGTACATTGGGCACTATAGAGTGGGTTCATATAAAGATTATTGAATTGGTTGGATAGAAAGACCTGTGGGTACTTGAATAAGATTATAGGCTGAGAGTATAAAAGGTTCTGTCATATTTGGAAAAATGAAAGTCAGTGAATCAAAAGAAGTACCACCGTCATTACCTCTCTGGCTCAGTCCCTAATTTGCCCTAATGTGCTGGGATGGATCCCTCCTGGTGTTCCCTCACCTGTGACAACTCAAGGATCATGGGCTGCTTTGAGCTGATGCCATCATCATGGCTGCTCCCAGGGCACTGGCGCTCTTGCAGGCTTTAGACTCTCTGTGATTTCAAGTCACTAATGTGAAGAATAGCAAGCTCTGGTGGCCTAGTGGTAGGAAGCTGTGCTGCAATCCCAAAGACATGCGGTTTGAATCCACCAGCTGCTCCATGGGTGAAAGATGGGCAGTCTCCTCTCGTGTAATTTACTACCTCTGAGAATCTGCTGGAGGGTCAGATATGAGTTACATCTGACTTGATTTCACACAACAATATGAAGAATGGTTAAGGCTGGAACAGAAAAACCTGACTATACTTGTTCCAATGTGAACAATTAAAATAGATTGATATAAGAAGCAAAGATAGAATGTGGGGTACTGTGAAGGAAACTTATTTCTAATAGTTGCAGCTGACAAAACCAAAGATTTATTTTTTTCCTGGACACGGGGAAATTTAGGGATAATGGAATGAGTAGTGACTATATAAGAATCAAATGGAAGAGAAGAAAAAAAAAAGACAACAACAAAACAATTTTACTTCCACTCCTACAAGCATAGGGGTATGTTTGACCTGTGTACACAAGGAAAAATGGTTAAAATTAGGTCAAAGCCATGTGCTTACTTCCACAGATTTGTGCCTCTTTCCCAAAATGAGTAGGTCCTCTGATTGAACTAATTTTTTTTCTGTATTTTATATAAGAGTTATATTTGATTTAATATAAGAAGGAAACCATTAAAAGGAAAAAATAGTATGATGGTGAGTAATAGTACTCAGATGACATGAGGGGAAAAGGATGTGTGAGTGTGCATGTGTGTGTGCGCGCGCGCACACACGAACATATTTCTGTGAGAGAGAGACAGAGGTGGAGAGAGCAACAGAGATAAGGCCCACATAGCCCATAGTGTGAGAGCAACACAAGAACACATTGTGTTATAAATTATGTCTTTTTCTTTTTTAAAGAACAATTTATGGCACAGAAGAACTGGGTAAGGTAATACCAGAATCCTTAAAGTCATACTACTTAATAATATGACAGATTTATTTAGAATTGACTATCCTAGTTCCAGTCTTAATATTTTGATTTTTCTACCACTGTAAAGATTATCTATGGAGCCCTGGTGGCATAGTGATGAAAACACTTGACAGTGAACCACAATGTCGGCTGTTTGCGTCAGCAAGTGTCTCCTCAGTAGAATGAAGCAGTCAGCTTCTGTAAGATATATAGCATATATATATCTGTCCTACAGGGTCCCTCTGCACAATCTAGTTGACAGGAGACTATTTCATGGGGAAAGACTATACAGAATAATCTTTATTTGTTACCCTTCAGGGGCAAGTTACAGTTTCCTGTAGAATGGCTTGCCACTGTAACTAGCCTGGAGCCCCTGCCTAGACAGTTGCAGGCAGACATGGCCTGGAACTTAAGACTAGGGGCCCGGAGCCCAGGGAGGAGTGGATGCAAGCACCTTCAGGATGTTTCCACTCACTCCTTATTTTCAGATGGGTCCTCCCAAGTAGGACCTCTAGAAAAGAAAAGTCCCCCAGACTCAATTTAGATTCGAAATAGAACATGATAACATATTTTTCAGGACTTACTCATCTTCTCAACAAGATTTCCAGAGTGAGCAAACAGAAAATACAGGCTGCCCAGGTAAGCTTGAATTTTAGATAAACAATAAATACCTTTGTGGTCTAAGTATGTCCCACACACTACTGGGGCTATCCTTACACAATAAAATTATCACTGTTTACCTGGGCTTTCTGTATTTTACCTGGGAACTTTAGTGTTGGGACTCTGGAAACTCCACAGGATCTGGGAAGAATCCTGTAGAAAAGAGCATGAGACTAAATCAAGGAGGGAGAGATCATAAGCAGGTTAAATGGAGAAATGACAAATCATCTGAGAGGTAAGCAGAGATGCATCATTCTGGAATCTTCACTACCTTACCCATTAGATCACCAACCCCCCTTACAGGGCCACTTGAGGGAGCAAGCCTTTGCACCACGACTGTGTGTCCTCAGCACACTCCTTCACGATTCTTGGCAAGGATCTGCATTTTGTATATTTAGGGGTGGCTTGGGCACATGGAAGAACACGCTGGCATGTGATGAGGCCACTGTAGAGAAGGCTAGAGGAGAGGGTAGGCAGGGCGGGCGTGGGGACTGCAAATGGGAAACAGCAAAGACACAGTGCAGCGCTGAAGGAACAGGGCGGACTTCAAGACCACACTTAGGCATGAACATAGAATTCCACGTGCAAATGCCCATGAATGGCTTAAAAGTACCTTTCTTCATAAATTTTATTTCATTCATTTATATGAATTTTTTACTTTATTAATTCAGTTTATATAAACTTACTCGTGCTTTTGTAGTATTTGCCAGGGACTAAGTATCTACTCTCTGGACTAGGGAAAGTCAGCTAGGATTAAGAACAGCAGTTAGGAGTAATCTCTTCCCTCACCTCCAGAGCTTCCCCTGCAATGATCAGCAATTAACTCCTATTGTTTAACTTCTGGTTTTGAAAGATTAACTCCTATTGTTTAACTTCTGGTTTTGCTTCCCACCCGACCTCCTCCTTTTTGAAAAAAAATTCCTACATTACCTCCCAAAGCTCTATTTAGTAGATTTTTCACTCCTGCTTGAGAACCAATTCGTTTTGGAGCCTGTAGAAGTTTCTAGGTGGAGGGATAACCATTGGAATCCACGCACCTGGAACTATCATCGACTAATAAGACCCTCTGGGTCTTATTTGTTTACTCATCATTATTTATCTTGACTCCAGGACTGAGGATCTTGTATTGAAGTTACACTGAATTAAATTTAAAGTTAAGCCTAGTGATGACGGAGATTTTCTTTTAGGAACCAAAATGTGATTAAAAGGGAAAAAAACACAACGCCAAACCCAACAACCCACAAAACCCAAGCATGCCCACTGTCATATCACCCAAGGCTATATTCTGAGTCAGGCTTCGGTGTCATGGAAACCACTTAAGCTCATTTGTGCTTTCAGTGCCTAAAATCTACTCATAAAAAGACAGTTTCACAGCAGAAACTGAAACACAGCTTAGAGGGAAAAGAAGGCGCTGCACCCATGTGCTCGCCAGGGGATTTTAAAGGAAGGAAATGACCCTGCTTTCTGTTGTCATAGACGACAACCCCTATCATGCACCACCATTGTTCCCACATCATGGATTCCTTATTCTCCAACTCAGGCAGATCTTATGAGAGATAAGGATATTCTGGGATGGGGGGGGGAAATTCAGGTCTGGGATGCTCAGTAAGCAGGATGTGTGGTCTTTCAGGCATCAGGCCCCTGAAGAGCCTAATTACTTAAGAGTAGAACTGGTTGATCAGGTGCTAGAGGCAGGAAATCTCTCGAAAGACTTCCCACCTCACTCCTCCTAGTACGGAAAAAGAGCTGGAGAGACAGAGTTTGAGGGTGCAGGCTGGCAGGAAGAGCGTTGCCCTGTGCAGCGCTACGGGAGTGTCCTGTACTGGCAGCCGCGCACCCTGCACACCTGTGCGCCCCTTGGGGCTCAGAGGCCACGCCCACTCACCTGTGCTGCTCTGGATGGTCCGCACGGTGGTGGTGGTGCGTGGTGGAGACGAGGACCGCAGGGACACGCACTCGTCGTCCTGTGAGCAGCCCTTCTCGATGGCCCGCACGTAGCTGTGGCTCCGCATGCGGAAGCAGCCGGGCACCGGCAGGTCCAGGGCCTCCACCGCCTGCGACTCCAGCTCACTGAACACAGACTCACACACCGACTCGAACTGGCCGTTCACTTCCATCTCGCTCACCTGCGGGAGAGACCACCGCACGTGAGACCTATCCTGTGCAGAATCCACCTCCCTTTCAAGCATCTCCCAATTTCAATCCCCCAAAAGGAATCCGAGTCTGAGTACATAAAATTCAAAAGCATTTGCATTTCTTGTTGTCACAAGATCCAGGTCTCTGGGTGGCCTAGTTAAACACTAAGAGCTGATGTTCAAATGTACCCAGAGGTATGAGGGGAGAAAGGTCTGGCAATTGGAACACAGCTCTATTCCCCTACACATGCGGGCTTACTGTGAATCAGAATCCACTCCATGACAGTTTTATTATTTTTTAACTGCATGCTTCAAAATTAGGAAGGGAGGGTGTCGGGGACGTGTCCTATATGCAGAATCTATATGCAGAATAGATCATTCTAGAAGCTGGACTTGATGAGGAAGAACGTGGTATAAGGATTGGGGCAAGACTCATCAACAACCTGCATTATGCAGCTAACACAATCTTGCTTGCTGAAACTGAGGAGGATCTGAAGAGTTTACCACAAAAGGTCAGGGACTGTAAGCTTCAGGCTGCACCATGATAGATGGAGAAGAGACTGAGGTTGTTGATAGTTATAGCTTGCTCAGCTCCACAATCAACCCTCTTGGCCCCAGCAGACAGGAAATCAAAAGACAAATTTCATTAGGGTCAGTTTGCCATAAGGACCTCTCCAGAGTGCAGAGGAGCAATATAATGTCAGTCTAAAGACTATAGTGTGCCGGATACAAGCCATGGACTATGCAATTACATGCTATGCATCAGAGAGCTGGAAAATGACTAAGGATAACAGAAGAAGAATCGATGACTTTGAGTTGTGGTTCTGAAGAAGAATCATGAACTTACCATTGACCTCCAGGAGAACAAATAGGTCTGTCTCAAAAAGGGTAAAACCAGGTTTGGATTTTGAAGCTCACATCATGCTTGGAAGAGGGGAGGGACAGCACAGGAGAAGACCTCAGATGAGACGGATTGACAAAATAACTGGGGCAGTGGGATTAAGTGTGTCAGAGTCAGTGAGACTGGCTCAGGATAGGGCAGGGTTCAGAGTTGTTGTACATAGGGTTGCTATGAGTTGCAGGTAACCTGAAGGCACAAAACAACTATGTTACAGGGACCTGTGATGGCTTAGTGCTAAGCAGCTGTGCTGCAATCCATAAAGCACATGGTTCTAATCTATAAGCTGTTACACAGGAGAAGGCAGGGCAATATCCTCCTGTATCATTTACTGCCTTTGAAAACCCTCTAGAGACGAAGCTATGGGGTCAACATACAAGAACAATGTTAGTAAAGTTTAAAGACTAATGTGTGCCTGACCCAAGTCATGGTCTTTTCAGTTGCATCCTAGTCAGCCAAAATTTGAACAATGAAAATGATGACAGAAGTACTGATGCCTTTGGGTTGCGGTGTTGGAGGAGTACTGAATATTCCATGGAGTACCAAAAGAATAAACAATCTGTCTCACAGGAAATGCAACCAGGCATTGCTTAGAGGCAAGGATGGTGAAACTTCTTACATACTTTGGGCACATTGTCAGGAGGGGTCACATCCTTAGAAAAAGATATCAAGCTGGGAAAGGTGGAAGGTCAGGGAAAGAGAGGAAGATCCCCAACAATATAGATTGACAGTGACCGCAGCAATGGGGTTGAGCGCCTCAGAGATGTGAGGATGGCATAGCCCAGGACATTCATTGTTCAGATCTGTTGTTAGTGGACTTGAGGACATCTAGCAATAACAGCAAAGCTGAATGACCTCTGGAGGCACTGTCCTAGGAAGCTGTGCTGCTAACCCAAAGGCAGTCTCTCTGGCATTTGGAACCCACCAAAGACTCCTTGGGAAAAAGGCAATCTCTTCCTGTGCGATAAACATCTTCTGAAAAGTCATTGGAGGGTCAGCTATGAGTTGATTACAACTTAACAGCAATGAGTTTGATTCTGAGATAGTTGAATGCTATTTAATCTAAAATTAAAAATGAGAGATAGCATTCTAAATAAAAAAAAAATCTTTGGTTTTAGGATACACGGAGGTATGGGGGCTGAAAAGCCTTAACTTCGGGCATGTAAATATTATCATTCCCCTCTTTTTACACCAACCTAGGGAACATTTTAAGCTGCTCATATATGTCACTGTTTTTCATACAAACACTTCAGAAACTAGTATTTTTAGTATGCCTTGTGAAGTAACTAGTTGGTCAAATAATTTTAGTGCTGAGTGAAGCTTAATTGAGTGCAAAATATGGAAACATGACCTATATTTCCTGGCAAGATACCCATATTTTGTACAAAAATAGACCAAACCCTTGTAAAAAATTTGGAAAGCTCTAGAAAGATTTTAAAACTATTTACAGGTGTCACTTTTCTTTAAAAGAAATGATTCCACACATTGTTTGTAACTGCACTTTAAAAATATTGCACATGAAATATGTTTACGGCATTGAAGTCTATGGGGGAGAGAATAGTCTAAAAGTATTATATTTTAGGGCATTATTTTTATCGTAGGAGTATGCAATGAGGGTTGTAGAGTGGATTATATTTGGGGCTAGGGGGTGGGGTTTGGGGAGGTGCGGGGGGGGGATTGTGTACCAATGAGGGAGTTTTTCTTTTGCTTTTCAAGGAGAGGAGCAAATGGGGGGGTAGGGGTGCGGGGAGAAGGGTGCAACAATGAATGCATGGAATTCCAAAATCTCTGTAGATGTTCATTGAAATGAAAAATAAACAACCTAAATTAAAAAAAAATATTGCACATGAAGGCTTCTCCTTGATGGAAACGAATTTTATTTATATATATTCCTTTGCTTTAGACTTGTTTTGGGCTTGTCCTGTCTAATTCTCATTAGAAGTGAAGGTCTTACACTATGGCCAAGTTATCAGGAAGGGCCAGTCCCCGGAGCAGGGCATGCTGCTTGATCAGCAGACACAGGATGACCTTCAGCAAGATGTATGGATACAGTGCCTGTAACAGTGGGCTTAAGTATAGCAGTGACTGTGAAGGTGGCACAGAAGGGTAATATTTTGCTCTGCTGTACACAGATTGCTATGAGCGAGGACTTACTTGAGGGAATCTAACACGAGTAACATAATAATCTCAAGAGAAGTGTTCACTAGTAGATAACTGAGAGACCTGGGAGTATTTTAAAATTTTCTGTTACGTTCCAGAGTTTCTTTCTATTTTCTCCAATACCAATTAGTGGGCAAATGAGAATTTAACAGATTTAATAGATAACCATTAAGCTTAGAATATAAACTGAGAACTAAAAATATTTGACTATCTCCTCATTTTGTGTTATCTAAAGTCATGCTTCAGCAATGGCTGATTTCCTTAAGTTTCAGATACAAAAGGCCAGTCATCTTAAGGCATGCTAGATGGGAAAGAGATAGGCATTTCTCAATACTTTCTTACAGTCTGAAAATAGTGTTTTCACAAACTTTATTCATTTGGGGAGCTTTTGTGGCCCAGATGGAGTTGTGCTTCTAACCCGAAGGTAGTGCCTATCTGGCAGTTCAAATCCAATAGAAGCTTGGTGAGAGAAAGAGGGGGGCAATCTCTTCTTGTACAATTTACAGCCTCTGAAAACCCACTGGAGGCTCATCTATGAGTTGGTTCTGATTTGGCGGTGATGAGTTTTGAGTATTTATGTTTGACATAAAATTCTTGAACTTTTTCAAGTTTAATGGTTATGTATTTACATAATTAACATGTTGTTGTTATGTGCCATGGAGTTGTTTGTGACACATAGTGACCCTGTATACAACAGCTCTGGTTCCTGCTCTATCTTGAGCTCAATCCATCTCATCCAGGTCTTTCTCTCTTCCATTGTCCCTCCACCCTTCTAAGCATAATGTCCTTCTCCAAGGAGTGGTGTCTCCTGCCAACATGCCCCAAATCCTAGCTTCCAATGAGCAGCCTGGTTTCACTGTGTCCAAGAAAAATCTGTTCTCTTAGCAGTCCATGGTATGTTCAATACTCTTCTCCAGCACAACTCAAAGGTATTGATTCTTCTTATATAATCCTTAGTCATGTTCATAGCAAGTAATTGCAAAGATCATGGCTTGAATCACATGCACTTTAGTCTTTAGATTGTCATTGCTCACATTTTAAGGAAAAATACGAGATACATATTTAGGAAAGGGATACAATATCTGGAACTTACTGTCAAATGGAAAGCAAGAAACAGCAAACAAATGTGTTAAACTAAAAATGACTGATGAATCTGAATCTGGTCTAGGCTATACACAGGATTTCTTTGTATTACCCATGTAACTCCATTAAGTTTGAAATAATACCCTTGTCAAAGTAACAGTTATTAACCTTGGGTGATTATATTTCCAGAAGCAATATATACCTTTTCTATATTTTTCATAAAAATTCAATAGATCTGCCCCTGTTATTATTTATTTATTTATGTATGTATGTATGTATGTATGTATGTATGTATGTATGTATGTATTTATTTATTTATTTATAT